TTTTATATCTGTATGGTAATTCCATACTTATATATTTACGTATTTATAATTCCTTTATTGTTTTAAATATTTTACGTGTGCCTATTACTGTGTCCCCACTAGAGGGATTTTAATGTGTGTTATTTTATACCTATGGATTTATTAGTAATTGCCTACTTTTATTTGGTATGTAATCACTTTATATGTTGTTACCCATTTGGGATCCACTGGGGTGTTATACCCTTCTGCCTCACAAGTTTTACCAATTCTGTCCTGGCTATGCTCCTACATTGTGATGGCGGTATTTAAAAGGTTACCATCTCACCTACTAATATCTGCCTATTTGTCCACTTTATATACTTGGGTGACTCATGGGCATTCAGTGTCAATTGATTATCCCTGTTTTATATACATTTTTCATTTTTTCTCCATTTTTTTAGTCATCTCCCTGGTGATCCAGGTGTCATTTAGGTTTATAATTTTAGATCACCAGTAAAATGGCCGCCGTCGGTGCCCATCACGCACGCGTGATTGTCAGTGTATATAACACTACAAGAAAATGGCTGCGGCGCATTCACACTGTGCATGCGCGGGTATACACGGCGCATGCGCACCAAACGATATAACACGGTCTTTTTTCTCTTTGCACACTCCCTTTGAAAACGTGTATTACACACGAAAAGCGTCAGAGAGGTGCCCCCCAGCTGTTTTACCGCACCGCAAGGCCTGTATAGGACGACCGGCGGCCATCTTTGATTCAATTTGTAAGCGTGTTTAATTTTTTTTGCAGTATTCTTCATTAAAGTCTACTACACTATCAAAGCTCTTGTCTGGGAGCCCTGGCCTTTTCAAGGTTTTTCACCATATCCTGCCTACCCAGTACCTGATGACTGGGATGATCCCCCTGGTGGCTGATATTGGCATTTATGGAGGCCTTCTGTTGATCCTGGATGCATGACACCTTGTGGCTACATTAAAGATGACCGCTACCTTTCCAGTGTTCCATATCCAGAGTACCAGGAGTAGGTCTTAAATACTCCATGCGCAAGCACCTCATCTATCTGGTTAGTGTAATCTACACTCGGTTTCACCACCACATGAGTCACGGTTACTCTGCTGTACCAGTTTATTGACGCTTCACAGAAGTCACATTTTATCTTGCACTTTTTCATTTATGAACTTTCAATTATGAACTTTCATTTATTGAATTTTAGGATGCATACCGTTTTTTCTGGAACTTTATTTGAAGTGACGTGCGGTACCATCCAGTGAGGTGTCATTATGCAGCATGACTGCATATTAATGCACCTCACTGCACCTCTGGGCTGCGTTGTAATGAGAATTGGGCACATAGAAAACTGTGCTCTATGTGCCATAGTAATGACAGGCGTTCTTCCAGTGCAGAAAAATGTTAGTCACTGCTCTAGTGTGAAAGGGTCCTAATAGGACGAATTTGCAGTTCTAGGTAATCAAAAGACACAATATTTCCGACTGTAGTAAAGAAACCTCTAATACACGAAGATCGGTCAGCTACCATGTCAGGGACAATTTTCTCATGCATGAAGTGCACAAACAAATTGATATCCTTATGCAGAGGGGCAAATAGTCTACTGCATTTTATTGTAGTCTGAAGAAAAACCACAGACTGAAATGCAGTTCCAACACACAGAAGATAGAGCCACAAGCAAAACAACTGAAGGCTCAGACTGATAATTAGCAAGATGCCCAGCATATCATTCCAGTGTCCTGCGGGAATTCTGTAATCACACTGCTCCTTCACAGGATGCCTGAAGCAAGTTGAACTATCTGTAAACGAATATAAGGCCAACTACATGGGCAGAGTTATCAGCTTTCAGTTCCCAAACCATTATACCCAATTTCACAATTGTGATTTTTGTATCATGTCTGATATAATTAGATATTTAAAATGTGGTAGTTTTTCATGTCGCTCATATTTAATATGCCCCTACACTGACTGATACACATTATGGTAAATCCACTGGCATGCTAATCTTGTTACTGTAAAGGCTGAATGGAAAAAATATTACAAGTGACATTTTAGTATCAGCATTTCTCATTCTCAATCATGTTCTTTATGTGTCTATAGCATAAGAGGCAGGAATAGCCAATCTGAGCTGGCCAGATGAGAGCCCATACAGCAAGCTGAGGTGACACTAGTGGCTCCAAAACGCAAGATCTGTCGGCTACCCATTCAGTGCCTCCTGATATCCCCACCTTAAGGTGGTACTAACCAATGCAAGTTTCCTGACTGCATTAAAGTAGAGCTATAGACAAAATGTTTTTTTCCCCCATTTTGGATAGATATCCCTTCAGATTTTTTTTTTTTTCTCACCATCTGTCATATTTTAGAGATTTCCTTTCACTTCCTGTCCCACAGCCAAAAAGGAAGTGAGAAAATCAAAATTACTATTTGAGTGTTTAACATTGGGCTACTGCCAAAGGAGCTTATTGAGGCAGCCTGACACCATATGGTTTGCCCAAGTACTTAAAGTGGTTCTAAAGGTAGGTTTTTTTTTTCCCTTAATGTTTTCTATGAATTTAAGTAGAACTATAGACAAAAAAACTTTTCTTTTCATTTTGGATAGAGAAAGGGTTAAAAACCCCTGAGTGTTTTTTTTGCCATTTGTCCCCCATTGAGATTTACCTTCACTTTCTGTCCCATAGCCAAACAGGAAGTGTGAGAGGAAACCCCCGGCAAATTAAGAGAATTCCAAGGGGACACCCAAGTCACCAGAACTAGTGTCCCCATTGGAAGATTTCTCCTCTATTACTTTTCTGGTAAACAGGACATATAGGGAGAGTGAATCCCCTTAAGAGGGAGCACAGACAGCAATAAAAACTGACAGGTCTCCAAAAAAAAAAAAAAAAAAAAAAAAAGCTTTGCCTTAAGTTATACTTTAATGCTGCTGAAGCCCCTCTGAGTAAGCTCCTTTGTTCGATCTCACCCGGGTGGATGACTTTACTGCTCTGCCACAATCTGATCTTGTTCAGACATGGTGTTTGGCTGCTTCGAAACAAGCCCTGTACAGCTTGCCTTTGGCTGGACTTTATCCGTGCAGAAGGCACTGTCCTGCCCCGAATGGATTAAGCAACAGGGTTTCTTAAAAGTTATTCTTACATCATACAAAAGAAAAAAAAAAAGGTTTCTCGCTCCATTCTGAAGAAAGGTTGGCCTTGTCAATTATGGCAACGTATCGGGCTCGAATAGGAATACGGCGCCACAGCCAAGAGCCAAACCAAACGCTAGGCTTGTAGTTGCAGAGCGGTATTCACAACTCAAAAACAGGTATTCTTGAAGCATCTCTTAACCAAACATTGCAGCCATGGCATGTGCATAAACCTCATTCGGCTGCCTTTGCAGCTTAAGGCTCCATGCATTCATGATTTCTTAAACTAATAAAAGGCTGGCTATATAGTTTTTTTAGTAACGTTTTATTGGTGTTTTTAGAGTACATGTTGGGGGGGGGAGAACAAACCTAAAAAAAAAAAAAGCTGTTAGGAGTGGTTTTAAGTTTAGCTTTCTTTTCTGTTCCTAAACCCTGATTGCTTGAAAAACACTACTAGCCTAAAATAGTGTGCGTGGACACATAAGATAACACTACTTAGCCTCTAGGAGCAGAAAAAAAATGCTGATAGCTTCTGAAGGCTGGAAAAAAAAAAAGCTAGTGTGCATGCAGCCCAAGGAAGGTTGGACACACTGCAGCTTATGCACCTATTTACAGCATCCATCCCCTCTGCCACATTACAAATGTAATATAGGTCTGTGTCTATTGTTTGATATTTTATGAATAGATTTACATTTCAAATGCCTGATCAACAGCCTTAAAGTGAAATCTTAACCAAAGCCTTTTTGTTTAGCACAGGGAGGGGTTAGAACCCGTCAGGTTTTCAGGGTATGTATGTGTTCCAGCTTAGATCTCTTCACTTCCTGTGGGTTTGTACTAAATAGCCATCAGGAAAGAAGAAAAAAAAACAACAAAATAACCTGACTTTTGCGTATTTTTTAAAAAAGTTTTTAAGTGGAGAGGGCTTAGGACACCTGTCAGGTTTGTATTGCCGTCTGTGCCAACATTAAGGCAATTGAAGCTCTCTATTAGTCATGTTTATCATCACCAAAAGAAAATCCCAAATTTGGGGTTGTCCCCAGAACAAGAATAGTGTGGATAACTTCCAACAGAGACACTATTTCTGGTGACAGTCCCTCACTTCTTATAACTATAGGACAGGAAGTCAAAGGAAATCTCCCCAAAAGGGGCACAGATGGCAAAAAGAAATATTAGTGGTTATAACCATCATTTACGCAACCCAAAGAGAAAGAAAATTGCTTTTAGATCTACTTTTATTTTTAGATTTTTAGTTCTAGTTAAACGACCATGAAGAATATGCATCTGTAAATTAAATCAAGCCGTTTAACCCTCCCAAAACATAGTGTGATTTAATCTAATAGCATATTCCTTGGATGAAATCAGTTTCCCCGTGGTCTTAACCTTCAGGTTCCATGCACACTACCGTTTCTTCAAGCTCCTAGAACCTATTGGCATACTTTTTTCTGCTCCTAGAAGCTTAATAGTGTTATCCTATGTGTCCATGCATGCTACTTTAGGCTATTAGCATTTTTTTGAGCTTTAGCGTCTAGGAGCAGAAATTTTTTATTTTTTTTTTTAAAGTTTTATGGAGTTTCCAGCAGAAAAAAAAATGCTAATAAAAAAAAAAAAAGGATCCTACCAGCTTTTTTTCAAGCTTTTGTTCCTTCCTCTACATGTACTGTAAAAACGCTAATAAAATGCTAAGACTCCTAAGTGCTTCTGAACTCTACTTAAAACACTTTTACCAGCATTTTTTCATCCAGCGTTTGTGGAGCTTAAACAAGAAAAAAAAAAAAAAAAAACACGTTAGTGTACATGGAGCCTTAGACTAGCCAAACAAAGCAGAATACCCAGTACAATCATGCAAGATTTTGAAAACAAATGTGAAACATAAGGATACCTTCTCGTTCTTACCTTGGAATCGTAAGCAGATTGTTGTATGACTTCAGGTGCCATCCAGAAAGGAGTACCTACAAATGTGTTTCTTTTGATCTGTGTATCAGTCAGCTGTCCAGCAACACCAAAGTCAGCAAGTTTGACATCCCCTTGCTCAGACAGTAGGACATTGGCAGCTGGAAGAACAAAAGAAAATGAGGCAAGAATGAGCCACAGCTGTAGTTAGGGGGTAGGCCGGGTATTAAAATTTTACTGTTGCAAACCTTTGATGTCTCTGTGAATTTTATTTTCTGAGTGCAGATAATCCAGACCTTTTAAGATTTCTCTCAACATGGTTGCAATCTGGAGTTCATCAAAAGGACCAACACGAAGCTGAAAAACATTAACAAAAAAAAAAGTTTAAAAAATATACTTTACTGTGTGCCGAACAGAACTGCAGCCAAAAGCACATAACCAGAGAACCCTCTAAGGCTTGGGATGGTAGCCTTTTTTATCAAATATATTTCCATAAAAAAAGCATGCAATCATTTTGGCTGAACATGAATGTATACATACCCAGAAAAAACACAGCCTTTGTTGCTTTGAGACAGTAGGCCAAGGTGTAGAAATATATATGCAATATTTTATAGAAAAGATTTTGCTGGACATTATAGCAGCTGGCTCAACAACTGCTGCAATTTTTAGATGGCTGTCAAAACACAAAGAAAGTGCACTGACATACTGCAAATACACATTTGAACGACACAAAGTCACATATTTCAAGAGTGAAATCCGTTATTTACAGGTGGAGAGCGTTGTCTCTCCACATGACAATTTTTTTCTTAAGCCGGTAATACATAGATTGAAATTCGATATATGGGCAGGCTGGTTGTACGCAAGTCGATCAATCAACCTGTGTATCACCAGCTTGTCAGGTTTTTTCCTGAATGATCAGCACCATCAGCAATAGTCGGCAACACTGATCATTTATTCTGACGGCAGGGAAGGGTCCCACTGTCATAATGCAATACCACAGCGGAAAGGATTCCCCCACTCACCTCAATGCTGATGGAGGAATCGGATAATTTTTTTATTCAATCTGTTGGTATGAGCTGCCTTAGAAGCAACTTTGAACTGGCTGTGTCAGTTTTAGCTTACAAATATTATTTGTTCAGTTTTTGTGTAACAAAATAATTGATTTATTATGTGGTCACTTGTCATTTACTATGAAGGACAATAAAAATTGCCACACTCTGAGCATTCCAAACTCTCACTGACCGCTCCACAGCCTGAATAGCACAATAAAAGGTATATTGAAGAATCCCATGTTTTTCCGTACGCTCGAAGTCCAGGTACCTTTAGACTATACTATACACCACTATAAGTACAAAAGCAATGCAATCACATAACCCCTAATAAACGTTGAATAATACTGCCTGTCTTTCAACCCAGAAAACTGAAAAAGTTGGAAGAACTATGGGGGACAGCTAGTGGTGGAAAAACACTATAAGGATAGGTCCACGATGAAGAGAACAAAGCTCTCTCTGATAATCTGTGCGAGGTTTAATGACATTCCCTGGCATGATGCCCTGCACTGAGGATACATTAACATTCTCCTTGAGAACCACAAGCTGAAGCTGTGCACAACTGGTGGCCCTTGGCCCAAGCTGTCACAGAGTCTGCAGTGCGACCAGTTAAAGGATAAGGTCACCTTTGGGAACATGGTACATCCGATTTTAGGGTGGGACATGTAACAACAACAGATGCCTGAACCCACTGGCACCCCCCCCCCCCTCCCATGACAGAAGTACGGGGAGAAGCTCACTTTTAAAAAAACAGAGCGGCCATGCAGTGTTCTGTGAATGACCTACAAGTTCCAGCAGCCTTAGAGGCTGTTGGCTTGTAGTTCTCAATTAACTATCATGGCGCTGTCAGATATACTGACAGGTCTGTAGGAGACCTGCATAGCACCACTGATCAATAGTGCAATGCTTTACAGGCTCCTGCAATCAAAAATACACATTTTTTGATCTGCAAAAAAAGTGATAATTTTTGGTCAAAATGTGGACTTTAAAGGGATTCTAAAAGTAAACTTACGTGCCCTGTGCAAAAACTCTTTTTTACGTCCCCTGCCAGCAGTTACATAGTTACTCTGGCTGAAAAAAGACAAAAGTCCATCTAGTTCGACCATTAAAAAAAAAAAAAAAAAAAAAAAAAAAAAAAAGTTATAATCCTATACCCATAGTTGATCCAGGCAAAATACCCGCAAAGCATGACCCAATTTGCTCCTGTAGGGGAAAAAATTCCTTCCTGATCCCCTGAGAGGCAATCGGATATTCCCTGGTTCAACGTTACCTATAAAATGTTGGTATCCAATTATACTATTTGTATCTAGGAAAAAACTCAGGCTTTTTTTTTTTTTAAAGCAATCCACTGAGATGGCCAGAACCAGTTCTGACTGAAGAAACCTTTTCATATTTGAAGATTAAATATCTTTTCCTCCAGACGTAAAGAGTGCCCCCTTGTCCTCTGTGATGACCTTTAGATTGGCCGTCAGCACTTCAGGATTGATCAATATTCAGATCTATACCATAGTTTGTGAACTCTATAACCTTCCTACAAACTAAAAAATACATCCTAATTTGGGTTATTTTCACCAAAGACATGTAGTAGAATACATCTCGGCCTAAATTTATGAAGAACAATCATTTATTTGCAAACTTTTATAAACAGAAACAAAGAAAAAACGTGTTTTTTTTTCAAAAGTTTCAGACTTTTGTTAATTTAGCAAAAAATAAAAACCCCAGCGATGATTAAATACCACCAAAAGAAAGCTCTAGTGTGAAGAAAATAAAATTTTAGTTTGGGTACAATGTTGTATGACCGCACAATTGTCATTCAAAGTGTGAGCGTTGAAACCTGAAAAATGGCCTGGGCAGGAAGGTGTAAAATTGCCCAGTATTGAATTGGTTAATATCCTCTCAAGAGAAATAATTCAGTTCTTCTAATCTTTCCTCATAGCTTATAAATTTGGTTTCCCCAGTTTGGTCTTACTAATGACTTGTACAGGGGTAAAATGATATCTCTCTCTGCAGTCTATACTTTTAATACCAGAGGATTTTGCTCGTTAGAAACCGCAGCTTGGAGTGCGCATGCGCGGCCGGCGGTACGGGACATGTCTCCCTGAAGCTCCTCCGTGCCGCGGGTAAGACAGCCCCCCCGCCGCGCGATCCGGGCTCGCACTGCTCCACGAGCGGCCCCGATCATCAATATAACCCCCCGGCCACCTGCAATAATGGTCAGGGGGGGTCATAAACACCAGGTGGCGCCGCCCTGCAAGCCCATAAAGGAGGCCCTAGCTCGAGCCTCATCCAAGATGGCCACCGCATTGGGGACTACAATGCCCAGCCAGCATCCTCCAGGCTTGCAGTCCTACAGCCAGAGCGACCGAGCCAGCCATGCTCTTCGGAGGGTGAGTCTGCAGATGAATCTGAGACCCCCATGACTACCGCGACACCTGACCTTACTGCCTCTGACCTTCTGACCCGCTTTGAAAAAATGTTGCACAAGGCCCTGAAACAGACCTCTGACCGCATTACTGACCAGCTGTCCAGGGAAATCCGCGAGCTGAGGCAACGCACTGCAGACCTGGAGCAGAGGGTGGATGACTTTGACGCAACACTTCAAACGCAGGGGGACGAAATTGACCTGCTGCGGGACGAAAACCTTACACTTCAGACGCGTCTAGAGGACTTTGAGAACCGGGCCAGACGCTCCAATGTACGTATTCGCGGCCTCCCTGAGACTATCATTGATGTCCACTCTACAGTTACTGCGCTATTCCAAGAGCTCGCCCCTGCTATTCCAATAGAACGCCTTGAGATGGACAGGGTTCACAGGGCACTAGCTCCTAAACGCACTGAAGGCCCGCCGCGAGATGTCATAGCTAAACTCCATTTTTTCCGCACAAGAGAGCAACTACTTCAAGCCGCCCGCAATTCGGAGTCCCTCCTGTTTCAAGGTCATGCCTATCAACTATTTCAGGACCTCTGCCCCTCTACTATCACCAAGCGCAGAGCCATGAAACCGCACCTGCTAGTGCTTCAGCAACATAATATACCATATAAATGGTGCTTTCCCTTTGCTGTGCGGTTCAGATACCAAGCCCGGGACCACGTATGCAAGACCACGGACATACTCCTGGACACGCTACGGAACCTCCAGCTACACCCCCCCGCAACACCGTCAGAGACTTCCAGAAGGCGAACGGCGTCGTGCTCTCCGAAGAAACTACAGCCTCAGTCGATCCCTAATGGTCACCTGAATGTACACAAACGCGGTCGATTTTCATCTCCTGCTCCCTCACCACAAGACTCTATGGACTGAATCCTGTTGACCACTTCTACTCCTCCCACCGGCTCTTCGTGTGGTGGTCCGTGGCCACCCCTGTAGTCGCTACTTGCTGAGTCGAATCAATCGCCCCCCCCATCTGACGGTTTACATTGCACACCTGTATCCTTATTCCTGTTTGCTGGGCTTTGTTTTTTTTTTTGTTTTTTTCATACCTGTTTCTTTCAACCAGCTCAGGATACAGGCCATTCTAGATATGTCTTGCGTTGGGGTGTTACCTGCCTTACTGTTTGCTAAGTTGGGGCTGCTGTTGGGTCTCTACCTTGCCTATTGGACCCCCGGCCCCGGCAGCTCTGATCGCCCGGTTCCGGTCTTTTGGAGGCTGTGCCGGGTGGGTCGGGGTCGCCGGCACCGGGGCACCCCGGGCTTCCTGCCCATTATGTTTGATGTTTTCTCTCTTTCCAGGATCGCTCAAGTATTTGTCTACATGCTGTCTTACTTGCCGCCCACGCACCTGTGCACTCTCCACTTGCCCCTTTGGTGTCCCTTTTTTTTGACACCACCCGGGCTACAACCACCCGGATTCCGGGTACCACCGGGGACCGTTCTCTTCTTTTTCTTCCAGCCTCTTTATGGCCCTCTTTACCTACCCTAGACCACCCTTACCCCTCCCCACCTCAACCCTTACTTTTCTGTACGGCCCCTTGTCATTATCCAGTTTCTACAACCGCATACTTTCCCCTTGTTCAATTCGCAAGATGGCTCTCTTGAAGGGATTCCAATATTTACCAAATCACCGCTTCCTCCACCCATGGGTTCCCTGAATATCCTTACCCTGAATGTTCAGGGCCTTAATGTCCCGCAGAAGCGCAACAAAGCCTTTCGTTCTTTTGCGTCCTATAAGGCCCACATAGTCTGCCTGCAGGAGACACATTTCACTCCTACCTCCACTCCTAAATTTTTTGGCCCCTGCTACCCACAGGTCTACACCGCCTCTGCTACTGTTAAGCGCAGGGGGGTTTTAATTGCTCTTCACCGTACTA